ATAGCAAATTTCGCAAATTGTATGATAATCCAATCTTATTTTGATTAATACAGCTTTTCATCCTCTAACTCTCAGATTGCATATTTTGTCCCGAAGTTTCCCGAAAACTTTATCCCTCTCTGTATGTATTTTCTAAACCGCTAATAACATTAATAAGCCTCATTAGGAGAACGATTGAAAACACGCAAAAACTCCTTAAAGTCAGCATAAATAGCTCACTCAATAATCCGTGAAACCAATTTTCTTTACGCCATGTCTGTTTCCGCTTTCAAATTCCCTGAAGATGCTGCAAGTAATAGTAACTCGAGCAAATCGAATTTTAGCGTACGAATTGAGTTGTTCTCGTTTCATCCTTGAGCGAAGCACAAGTACTACTCAAAGCTACACAGTAGAGCGTGGATCTATATTTTCTATAAATACATCCATCCCGAGTCATTTGCAACTTAATGTGTGAGCTTGCATACTATGCACGGTAACCCACGACATCCTCACTAGTGTTTCCTCAGTGGAACCTTTTCTGGCGTAACAAACTGCAGAAATTGTTTTAATAACTAATGCACATCCATTCCAATTGAAAGGGGCAAAGAAACAAGCAGAAACCACCGGAAATGGGCAAGTTCTATCCATACACGTCAAATAGCGCGCATGGTGTGCAATAAGCACATATTAGGGTAAAAATGACCTGAACGACATTCCATTCAGAAAGTGAGCAAACTGCAACTCCCAAACTTTGATTTGCTTATATTTTTGAACAGATCGATTGATTTTTGAGCAGTGGTGTGACTTGATCTCGGAAGTACGCAATTACACAAATTACTTGTCTTAAAAGATCTGATATACCTGTCTGGATGTCATATTTGTCACATTCAAATTTCTGATACTCAGCCCTTGATAATTTCAAAAACAAACATCTTTTATTTTCACAGTTTTCACATTCTGCATAGGTCATTTTCCATTCTTCCTAAATTTCCATTAGGATTTCCGATTTTTTTCAGTGGTTTCTGTTATATTCTATCAAATTTGGTCATCGCCAGGTAGTTCTTACGTTTGTCCCACTGTATGACTATCGTAATCCTTGATATAACAACCACGGTGTTTTGTTTCAGCTTATCTTCGACCAAACTTGCAGATTAGATACGAATTTGTTGTTATGGCCAACATCGTCGCGAAACAATGTTACTTCACTAACCTTCAGTTGCAAGTGTTACAGTAAAATAAGCAATAAATAATGCCTGATGCAAATTTCTAAGTGCCGTGATTGAGCAGGTGTTTTGCTTTCGGTTTGTTTAGCAAACTATCGGCTAAGCGAAAGCATAAGCTGTTTTATGAATTTTCTACTTGAAACCTGCACAGATTGTGCATTCGACCTTTGCTGGTGCATATTGTGTGCATTTGCACACTTTACTGGCGCCAATTTTTCTCGACTATAGTCCTCTTCTCTTAGGTTTCTAGCACCCTCAACTCATCGGTTATTCACTTAACAAGAATTGCTGCTCTCCACCTATCCAAGCATTTCTGAAGCAAGTGAATAACTGATGCGAGAGCTGGCCCAGTTGGTCGGGACGGCCTTTCCTCTCCCGTTGCGCATCGGTCGTTGCTCTCCATTTACAATCAAGTAATTCTTCTGACGTAAACTTCCGCATTTAATGTGTATATCAAGAGATTTTCCGTTCGCACACGTAGCAAATAAAAGTTTTTTTTTGGGAGCGGAAAATAATGACAATCATTTTTGATGGCTTTATTGTAGAGTTCTTCGAGAATATGCTAGTATGTGAGGTTGCACACCATGTACGGCATTCAACGGCTTTTTCTTGTGAGCAGCCACTACTATAACGCTTGTAATTGAAAAATTGTTAAAGGCACCGTCCACCCAAAGCGAAGTTGATGAGATTTCGGTGGCATACTAGTGTGGGCCCCCACACTAGGCAAACCCCCAAGTAGCGCCGCAAAATACTCCTTCCGAAGCCAGAAATCCGCTCCGGAAGGGACGTAACCGGAGGTGGTCACTCCGCCCACTTTGCAGGCGCGCTGATATACGCAGGGCGTCATTAGCAAACTAGTCATGGGCAATTGTGCAATCGATTAGGAGTATTGGGAGATGTCTGCCCCAGTCTTGATCCAGGTTCCGCGTATTTATTCACACAGAAAGCAGTGAAAGCAAGTGTTTTAGCACACAGAAATGCGTGATAGTTTATTGCGATGATCCATTAGTCATGTAGACGGCGTCAACGATTATTTTGACTACAAATAGTATTTCAATTTGATGTACATTGCAATGAAAAAACTCACGTCGCATGTTCATCTCGTTTTATTGAGCACAAGCGTCACCTATAACGAAAGATCGCGTTCATATCAAGAAAAACAGCTATGCCGGATGCTGATGATGGCTATAATCGAAAAAACAACTTTGTCGTAGATTTGGTCATGACTGAATAAAAAACGAACGGTTGAGGATACAAGTACACGAAATAACACTAGAAAAACTCCGATTAGTCGCCTACGACGAGGCAGCGTACTGCGCTGTGCGTGTAGTCTCTCCAACGGTGCGCCTGCAAAGTGGGCAGAGTGACCACCTCCGGTTACGTCCCTTCCGGAGCGGATTTCTCGCTTCGGAAGGAGTATTTTGCCTCGCTACTTGGGGGTTTGCCTAGTGTGGAGGCCCACACTAGTATGCCACCGAAATCTCATCAACCTCGCTTTGGGTGGACGGTGCCTTTAAGATAAATTATTCACATTTATATAGAATACAAAGCAAAATGAAATGTAATCAAGTAAATCAAATAATCATTCCTAAGTATTATAAATATACTGTTGCGACATTATTATTTAGTTTACTTGAATGTAATATTATTCTATTACAAGGAATAATTGTTTACTTTTATATAATTTTGTGCTCTCTGACGCACCTCGAATCATTCAAAAAAATCAATAAATCCAGAGTTTGTGGCTACATAATCACGCTTAGAAGTAAGAAAAGGTATTTTTGGAAATTGGCTCAAGCACGTAAGCCGTAGAATAGCTAATCTCGTAAAACACATACAAACTTATAAGCGACTCAAATGATTTTTTATTGAAGGCTGACATCACAAGAACAGATCGTCATCCTACGAATTCAAGTTTACACTGAGTTTTTGAATCTAATCACTAGGAAAATAACTTCTTAGTAAGCCTCATACAGAGAAAGGTTTAAAAATCAAGTTCGCTTATGTGTTAAAACTGGTGCAAAAGTATTGCCATATCGGATTTCAACACATATCTTTTCACCTTGCTGTATCTAACAAGCTGTAAGCTAAATATAGCTTATGCACTTGCTACTAGTAATTCTTTGCGTAACTGAAGAGTAAATTCTTTGCAGATTTTCTGCTTGGTTGAATGCCCGAATGTATTTAGTGTCATTGCATCGTTAAGCTCCTTTTTCTTCAGAAGAAAGTGCAAACCAGTGTCTCGCAAAGAAAGATGCTCTTATATGCTAAAGAATAAGTTGCTATGTTATTTTATGATTAAGTTATATCTGTTCTTTTCTCCTACAACAAAAAACTTTTCTCTAAATAAACTTTTTCCCTTTAAATCCGCCCAGAAAGCCCGATTGATCGTACATAATATGAACTTTCTCGTTTTCTAATTGTCTCTAATATGTTTTCATTTGTCTACTTCGTTTTTCATTTATGCATGAGAACAATGTGACGAGTGTCTAGACCGTTTTTGCTTCTTAATTGTTTGAACTTCCTAAAAACTATGCCATCGTCAAGTTCTACATCAAGATTTTCTTGCATACATTTTCGCTGCTCTCTGGCATTTGCGCGTGCGTAGCTAAATATATGAATAAATGATGTGGAATTACGTGCCGGGTGGTCTTTTGGATCTATAATCATTTAGAATTCGTCTAGAGACTTGCAAAGTAGGTGCTTATAGGAAGACATTTTAGACAAATTCAAATTTTATCCATAGTCGTTATCCCCCTTTTTTAGTTCCTCGTTAAATACAGCTCACATCCGACAAGCATGATACTTGAACTGATAGCGTACGAAAAAAAACTTACCGTACATCTACCGTACCTCTACAGTTCATCGAACATACCAGAAGATTTGATATAAACTGTACTGGAAGTGCTGCAAATTAAGCGGTTTTGAGTATCTCAGTTTTTCGTATCTTACAGATATTGAAGTGCTCGGAACTTTGCATTAGTAAATTACTGTAAGGTTACTGTAAGAACTACCTCCAAGCGGCATCGTTGTGGCCTAGCAGTTATTCCAGATAATTTCTGGATATGAAATATTCGTGATGATGAACGCCTTAATATTGATAACAAGATTCTTATTCGAATGATACCACTGAAATTTTGAGAATCAGTGAAAAACTGCCTTTACCGTATAGCTAGCATAACCCTTTAGAAAATAGGTTCCAAAGCACTGCAAACTCGATGAAATTCAGAATTAACCTGCGTGAAAAAGTCCAGCTTCAAAGTTTTTGGAGCAGGAGTTGGTTCTCAAAGAAATGGCGGATTATTGTAGGACTACGTATTAGCTATTGAGCAGTAATTCTTGGACCGCTGCTTGCTTGGTACAGTAATCCTACAGTAATTCTACAATAACCCGTAAAAAATGTCATCTCTTCCAGAACTGCACTCGTTAGACATAGCTATCAAGAATGCGCAGAATTTTTTTGCTATACAATGATCTGCCATATAGCTTTGATCTAACGAGATTGGCGGCTGGAAGACGACCGCTCGCGCTCGCGACACAATCTGCTCCTCTTTCGCGAAAGTGCTCTCTGATCATTCCCTAGCCTTAATTAGGTCACGAAACCCGGCTTTCACCCGCCAAGCCAGTTGAATCAGGGGTAGTGTGTGTTTTGGAAAATTTTCAGCGTACATTTTTGCACTTCTTGTTTTGTCTCTCTCTTCCGAAAATGCGAGAATTTGCATAAGTCTATTCCAGTGCATTTGTTCTGTTGAAAAAACTCGTTTCTCTTCCGGTTTTGTCTTAATCTAATCATTTCAGACGCTGTTCCATGCCATCATTAACGAAAATGCCATCTGCAGCTCGGCATCTTATGTCCAACATGTTCTCTTTCTTCAACAGTACGTCTTCGACACAACCTGGGTAAGTTAAAATAATTTTTATCAGTTTTGTAGAATATTTTAATCCTTTTTTTTCGATATTAGTTCATTTATGTGTTTATTTCTGTATATTCTTCTATGGTGAATTTTCAACCATATTTTCTAAACAAGTTATTCAGCTTTTTTGAACCTTCTCAGGGGTTAGATTGTTGTAATAATTTTAATTTTTTTCATAATTTTCCAAATTTTATTTCGTCATTGAGGTTTTGATGTAAATGGCCATTTATTCAAAATGGTTTGGCCTCTACGAGCCAAACTGAAGATTCCACTGCTTTGTATGATAAGATCGAACGAAAAAAATTAGGAAAATTTTTAGATGCAAGCTCAAAGTATTCCTATTTTCTTATTTCGTTCTACAGGTTATAGCTATGGCAGTTAGCGAGTAAATTATTGGCCAGAATATCCTTTCCGTCAAAATCCTAAAAAATTATATAGTGTTTGAATCAACTTCCTCCGCTCTTGTATTATGTCAACATCTTCTGACCATTGCAGGAAAAGGTAAATAGAATAATCAGTGCACTTTACACAGTAGTGCTACTAAAAATATCACTTCTCAAGGGAATTTCCTCATCACAAATATTTGTAAAGCTCTAAAGTGGCCTTAGCTTTGCACTTTTACGTCGCAAAAAACATACAGTTAACACACATCTCCGAACCTGATGTTATTGATGAAAAACGGACATCTCAAGGGAAATCACGGTCCGTCCGACGCAATTAGCCTGTGTCAGGTAGCAGTTATTTTTAGAAAATGAAAGGGACGGCTATGGTAAATAGGTTTATGCTCGTGGAATTGCTTAAAACGAAACTAAAGCACGCAGAAAATCGATATATTGATCGCAAGCTGCAGATTTTGATTTACGGTAGCTCAACAACTCAGAAAAAAGGGAAGGTTTATGGAATTTCTGTAACAGTAAGCAGAATTCTCTTCAAAAACAAAAGTGAGTTCAACCATTTTGCACGGCGTAAATTCCGAGTACAGGGATAGGTATTTAAGTTATACATGCATAATAATGCTTCAAAGACTAGGGAAATTCCATTGCATCCACAAACTCTCTTGCAATTTTCATATCATTTATATGTTCAGATTAGAAATAGGCTACCGTAGTATCCGATGTTTTTTTTTGTATAAATGATCAAATGATCTTAAATTTATTTTGCGAAATCCTGCATTCAGAGAAGAATTAGTGTTATCAGCATAATTTTTGTGAAAACAAACGATACATCAGATGCTACGCGCAGAAACCTTTTCAGCGAGTTTCTGGATTGGTAATTCTGTTTTGACCCATTTTGTAACCGGCAGTTAGAGAAAGTATATGGCGGCTCGGTGTGATTAGCACCTTCCGCAAGTGCTCGCCGCGTCTACACCTAACTCCCGTTGTCACCTACGATGTCGCGCATCCACCAAGGTTCATGACGCATTGACAGGCGCTGCCGAGGACTACCCCCTACCCGTATGAGCCAATAAATAGCGCGTAACGCTGACGAAAAAAAGGACCGACTAGTTCAGACTACATTTATCTACAAATATGCACAACAATAAACTACTAACACTACTAAAACTACTGAGGCTATTGAAACCACTAAAACTACTACCTCAAACCCAGGAAAACTAAGCACGGGACGAGGCGCCTCGTCCCGTGCTGCCGATACTTGGCGATGATCACTCCAACACATAGTTCCGGGTTCTCCGCTGGGTCAACCGCAAGCCCCTGGCCCTTCCGGGACGGTGTGACCCCTCTCCACTCCCGCTAGTGTACTTCCTACGCAGGACGAACCATGATGTTTAGCTGCGCGTCTCCAAAACCAAGAAGATAACAAAAGCTCAACCGCTCGAAACCGATGATCATCTGCGGGAGCTGCTGGAGGCGCTGCCAGCACGACCGATATCATAAAACGATCAATACGAACGGAACTCGAAGAGGCGTAGACCGCGGCCTGCGCGCCCTTATATACCCTGTGACTTGGCAACGCGCCCAGCAGGAGAGGTCTTGGCGCGAAATGGATAGCGCACCAAGTAACGCGGTAGCCAGCGCTCCCGGCCTCCTGTTTCGAGGAGTGGCTTGCATCGCGAGCCGCGACAAAGTGCATTTTGCACAGCTCCAACGCTAAAAATGTCATAGCACTGGGAAAATTTCTCACATATGATAAATACCTAAGGGACTCTAAAGTGAGCTTGCACTTTTCCGTTGCAAGAAGTATGCGACAGACATTTGAAGGGTGTATGAGTTTTTATTAACACATTTCTTGTATTATTGGAACGTATGTTTCGCACAAAAAAATTGCAAAAATTTTTTTCAATGAAAATGCTCAGCTGACTTTTGAACTGGTATTGTACTTTTCTCTTTACAGAGAAAAATTATTTTACTATATGTTCCAAGAAAGTTTTGAAAATTATCCGGACGGCGAGACGAATATTGAGACTTTTTGTACTTATTCAATCATTGCGATTTCTTGTCGAAAAGAAAAAGAAGTGGAACTTAGACCAAAATCCAAGGTTAGAAGCGACCTCTTGCCATAATTCTTGATAAGTCATGAATCAGAAAACTTGAAACAAGGCTTACGTTCCAATTTGAAACAAGATATATGTTTCAAACTATTTTTTAAGTAATGATATCTATTCTTGTCTAGCTCAAGTTTATTTCATTTGACTAAGAATAAACCTATGAATTCTTTATTATTGTCACAAATTGGTCAATACTCAAAGCTGCGATGACTTTTGTTAGTGGAAATTAAGGAAAACTAATACTAGTCTGCACCCTCTGCACCCAAAAGGCTAAACCTAGCAGACGCTTGGCTATTCTTATCGAAGGTTGCAAATTCCAGAACGTGGTGAAATACGTTAGCAAAACTCTTCCGCATCAAACATACAGGGACTTTGATGTTTGCAAATTTTCAGTTAAACGAAATTCAGCCGCCTGAGAAGTCAGTTCGATGTGCATAGGGATGATCCTGGTACTTTGCTGCGGTAAATTCAAAAATTTTCGCGAATATTTTTCATACAAAAAGCTCGCGTTAGGGAGTTAGATTATTATATATTTTTCCGTAGCGAAACTCTTTTAACTTCACTTTTTAAACTTCTCTTTTTTATCGAAACTATAACTAAACTGCCATGAGTTTTGCACGAATGAGCTGCTAACGTCTGAACGTCATGTTTGCAAAATGACCCTTCCTCATGGCTCATGTTACTAACATAACGAAATGATTAGTTTATGAAGTATTTTATGTGCGAAGTGTCCATCATTTTTGGAAGTTTCCATGTTTTGAATGGAATAACATTAGAATAATCTATGAATATTACCTATATGTAGGTACAAGCATGACGCCATATAGGGCGCGTTACTGAATGAACTAGGGTCGCTTATTTTTAAGCAATAATATAGCATTGTAATATCAAAAATGCGATCATAACATATAAAATATTTTATAATTTGTGCTGAGTTATCTGTTAAAATCAGCTGCTCTGTAAATCTCACCACCAAAGATTTCACCATCATTTGCTATTACTTGCCAATTTCTCAAATTTTGATGGATGCCAACTAAAATACCAAGTCACTCGGCTTGTTTTCATAATTGAAAACCTTGTTGCCTTGGGGTTTCAGTATTTTAATCTGGCCTTCTGGTGTACCATGGATTTGCAAATTTTTAGCTTTAAAACTCCATAACCATGCTTTCATCTACACTATCTTCCTTGTGGTTTTAAATTGTCAATCATACAATACTTGAGATTTTTAGCAAAATTTAATGAAATTTATATATCAAGGAAATTATTTTTTCAAGCTATACATCTAAACCAGCTTTTAATCTCTCGTCAACCAACTTGAGACCAAGCAATTGGCAACTGTCACCACCCCTTAGCGCGATTGATGAAAATGAAAGCAGTATTTATTTATTTATTTATTTGTGCATAGGGATGCCCCTATGAAAAAGAAAGCAAACGAACAACAACAACAAAATAAAACAGTCAACACAACAGCACCTGAACAAAAAACAGTGTTAGTGTGTATTCAGGTAATTGTATTCGTTCTTGTTCTCAATTTTTGGGGATAGAGGATAATGTCTTTGCTTCTATAAATCACATTGGACAACTTGACCTTTTTCTAAGCTCCTAATCACTTTTGTAATTTCAAAAACTGTACACAAAGGCTGCTTTCCAGCAGGGCTCTTCTTAACTTTTTTTGAAGTTCTAAAATCCCTTTGAACCTCGCTTTGGCTTCCAGTTCTCAATTCATAATTTTCATATAGGCCGCTATTCATTGCGTATGCATAGAGTGCAAAACATCTTTAATTCAAGCATGACACATGTCAGTGCAAATTCAAACATTCAAACGTTCTTATGATGGATCATCTAGCTATGATGGAAAACTTATTTTATTTCGTAGCACTAGAGAACTCTGGGTGTGCTTTAGAAGTATAGCATAACACAGTAATTGCCTTAACATGTGTTTTTACTTAGGTTGTTAATGTTAGGTTGGTTCATAATTAATGCGTCTTTCACACCTTTTTCAAGAGCTGGTTTGCAAAGTAGAACCATTTATCTCAGAAACTTTTATTTTCTAAAAGAGCGTTTCTTCTAGTCTCTCAAATATGCTTTTGCTTTCGTGAATATTTGTTCATTTCAGAGTTTGGAGCCTTTGAAAATAAAAGGCTAAATTTTATAGTTCTTGTCCTTCGCTCTTGCCCTAAATCACGAAAAATTACCAGATTTTTTCATAAATGTGCGTAACGACTGCGACACTTTGTGTTACAAAAGGTTAATAAAATTCTCGACATGAACTAAGAGATTTTACTGCAAACTTGAATAATCTTGAAGGGCCTTCCATGTCGCATACATAGACCTTGTACATTTGGTAATATTAAAACACTAAGTTTCTCATTTCCAACAAGAAAGAGTTGCAGAATTGTAGAATTTTAAACCCACCGAAATGCTCAAAAGTACTACTTTCGACATTTTTGCAATATTTTCTCTTGAGAAAATCCCGGAAA